AAAAAAAAAGAAATTCCCGCAGTTGTCTGAGTGCGATTCTCATGTCCACGTCCCAGTTGCTCTCCTGAGCACCTGCCGTCCACCAGACCAACGCGAAGACAAGTACAGGCCTCGCCCGGCCCACACTGAATGGATGAAACGCACTGACATTTTCGCTCCTTTAAAGGGGGAAGAGAGTGAGGCAGACTGTGGCCTCTAGAGCAGCAGAGTGGGGTGCTCTGGGGGAAGCACACCAGCCACCCCACCCGGCGACAGCCCCTGAGGCCGACAGTGGCCACTGTCCCCACGCACAGGGCTTGGGGATGACTGCATGATCTTTAGGCTGAGGCTAAAGGGGGAAAAGCCCTTCCTCCTTCTGGCAGAGGAGGAGGCGGGGAGAAGGGCTGCGCCCCGCCCGCCCAGGAGCAGAGGTCCCGGCAGGGCACTGGGTTCAGGGCTCAGGAGCGCACGGGAAGGCAGGAGGGGACTGGGAGTGATGAGAACTTCTCCCCTTTCGGAGTTCCAGCCGGATTTCTGTTTGTCCAGATAAAAGCTCCGTATAATGAGCACTGACATGCGGATGGTAATTACCAACACAAAACAAAACTAAAACCCACCCACCCCCGCGAACCCTCATGTAAGGGCAGAAGCCTGAGCCGTGGGGGCCGGTCCCTGTGACCGCGGAGAAGAAGGGATGCTGAGTGGGGACGCCGGGCGTCCACATGGTCACTGCATCGAAGGGCTCGGGATTCTTCCCACTGCAGGGGCCGTCCGGCTTCGTGGCGGCGCTGACCGGGTGGAAGGCACAGTGGAGGTGTACGCCAACGGCGCGTGGGGCGCAGTCTGCAGCAGCCACTGGGACGACGCGGATGTTGCGGTCGTCTGTCACCAGCTGCAGCTGGGGTGAGTCCGTGACCTCGCCCGGGCTGGGCACATGACCGGGAGCGAGTGGGCACCATGGCCTTGTGGGAAGGATTGTCCTTCTTCCTCATCCCACTCTCCTCAGTAGAGTTTCTGAGAAGGGCGGGAGGGAGTGGGCTCTCGCCCTCACGTACTCCGTGTGCCCACGGCACTCCCCCACTGGCCACGGCACTCCCCCGCTGGCCCCGGCACTCCCCCGCTTGCCACAGCACACCCCCCGCTGGCCACAGCATGACCCGCTCCTCCCACAGCCCCGGTCCCTCTTTATGTGGGTGTATCTGCCCATTTTCCTCTAAAACCTGCCATGGATGTTAAAGCCACATGCATACCGTGGCTTCAAGACTGACTGAGAAGATGGCCCTGGGTAACCCACCCGTGTTGTCATTCCTTGAAACTTGGGTAACCCACGTGTTTTCCTTTCTCTTCTACATCCATCTTTATGGGTTTCTTCCATTTTTAAAAATCCAAATGATGTGCCAAAAGTGCACCCCGCTTTGCTAAACCTAACGTCGATCGTTGTACTTCCAGGAGAAAGGGCGTGGCAGAGCACACCCCGCTGTCCGGGCTGGGCCGCATCCCCGTTCACTGGAGCGGCGTCCGCTGCCGAGGAGACGAGGGGGGCCTCCAGCTGTGCGCCAGGGACCTGGCGGGGG